TGGACAGCAATGATTTTAAGTGGTTTTGAGGTTTTGCCACAGGTGAAATGGAGGCTTGAGACCCCTGTGTAACAAGGTCACTCAGGTGGTGGAGACACAGGGTGAGTCTGGGCGGTAATAACACAACTGGCAGGACTTGAGGGTGGAGGGAGATGTGACTAACTCTGCTGTCCCCAAAGCCTATGAGCCCCGCAGCCCTGCAGACCCTGGAGCCAGATACTGGTCTCCCCCAGGCAAGGTGAGCAGTACAGAGGTCAGGCCCTGAGCCTGGAACCTGGCCCCTTCCTCCTGCTCCCCACAGGAAGGGCACCCACCCCAAATTGGGGCCAGGAGGTTGGGTCTTCTCCATGTCACTCAGCCAAGCCTGTCTTCCTGTTCCCCACTCCACAGTCTGACTCACCTCCTGTGGCCACTAGGACGTCTCCCACAAGCCCTCCAGGTGGGCAGGGACACTGGCACTATCCCACTTGGTGACCCAACAAATGCATTCCCAGACTATCTGGGCTGTTGTTGTGTACTATCAAGTCGGAACCAACCCATCGCTGACCCTCCAGTGGGTTCTCAGAGGCAGCTAAGCACACAGGAGGAGAGTGCCCATCCTCCCATGGAGCAGCTGGTGGATTCGAACCGTGTACCTTCCGAATTGTAGCACAGCTTCTTACTACTAGGCCACCAGAGCTCCCCTACTGGCTCATCGAGGTAGGATGGGTTCCAGCCTGACCTGGAGTCCGGCTGTGTGACCTCAGGAGGCCACAGGCCCTCTCTGAGCCCCAGTCTCCTCCTCAGTGGGAGGGCCTGCCTCCTGCCTGTGTTTTCAGAGTCTGGCTTCCGCTGGAGGCCTGGCACAGGGAGTGCTGTGAGTACACTGTCACCAGTGCCAACGAGCCCAGCACATCACATCGTCACTCTGGCTGGGCTGGGAAGAGAACCCCCAGCTCAGCTCAGCTCAGCTCGGGCCCAGGCCTTGTGTATTTACACCAGCCCCCAGCCAGCCTCCCCACAGGCCCAGCCGTGGGTTCTGAGCCTCCCTTTTCCTGCCCATCAGGAACTGAGTGGGGGCGATGGTGTCGTCACTCACCCCACTCGTCCCCCCATCTCGGGCCAGAGGCCCTCTTGGCATCCAGCCCAGAGCCCACGCGGCACAGCCTGCACCCGGCAGATGGGAAAGTGGGGCGGAGGGTGGGGAGTCGTGTTCTGATTCAGACGTGGGGTGGGGAGGGGGCCTCACTGATCCTCAGAGGCGAGCCCACCCCCTCCTTGCTGGCACCTCTGACAAAAGGACAGCTTGCGCACCGCCCCCTCAGCCCTCACGTTTTCTCCTCATCTGTGTAAATAGCCCATCCTCGTCCTCTTTCTCCTGGCAGGTGACTCTCCCTCTAAGGGAGGGGGTATGCTTTGCCAGACAGAGGAGGCACCGCTTTTGCCCAACTCCATCACTATAGAAAATGCAGGAGAATGCATGCCTCAGTTTCCCCATCTGTGGAATGGGACCAATCCATTTCACGACTGGGTGGGTGTGAGGAGTCATGAGTAACACGTGTGATTGGCTGAGCCTGGTGAGGGGCAGGGGCTGAGGCATCGGAGTGGGGGGAGCTGGGAGAGCAGCACTGGGAGTAGAGGAGTCTCTGTTCTGCCCCTTACAGCTCTGAAGTAGACATGCTCCCTGGGAGCTAAGTGCCTGGGCCTGAGGTTTCTGCAAGTTCAGTCAGCAGGTGTCTGGCCTGGTTACTGCCATGCGCTGAGGATGGTCAAGACAGGCCCCTGGAATGGCATGCTGCCTGTCCCCTCACGTGCCACTTACGTGCAAACATTACAGTTTGCGTAATGCTTTCATAGTCCATGAGGACCAGAAGCTTCCACTTTTTCCTCCTATCCTCACACATGGGGTGGACAGAGTGAGAGGGCATTGCCCCATTTTACAGATGGCAAAACTGAGGTTCTGTGGGTTCGTTCATACAAACCAGGATTAGCAGGTGTTTTAGAGGCTGGAAGGAGCTGCCAGGATTACAAAGATCCATACAGCCAGTGGTCCATCCAGCGCCCCTCCCTCCCACTTCACCTGGCCTCTGCTCCATCTGGCGGCCAAACAGGCATCTACACTGATTCAGGGCTGGGACCTCCCACCTGACAGATGAGTGGACAGTAAAGGTGGAAAGACACACACACACACACACACACACACACCGCAAGCCCAGCTCCTTCATGAAGTCCCTTCCCAGAGCCAGACTGGACCACTCTTTGACCTGCATCCCATTGCCCCATTTCACAGCCTGGAATTGGATGGGGGCTGTTCTCTGTCCCTTCTCACCACCGGCAGATGGAGAGAGGAGAAAGGGAAAGAGTCAAGCTTTTTTGGGAGAAATAAGACTGCTCAAGAAGCCTGCCTGTGGTTGTCAGCAAACATGTGCACACACATGAACACACGTGTGTTCACACAGAGAGAGAAAGACCTGGCACTTGGTCCCTGGCCCTCCGAGGAGGCCCCAACTTGCCCATACAGCCCAGCAGAGCCTGGGGACAGAAAGGAGGGCTTCCCTGAGGAGCTGCAGGGCCCGTGTGGAGTTACCGAGGGCACAAGGTGGAGAAGCAGGCCTCTCGGCCCTGGTGCTTGCTCTGGGTGTGGTTTGGGGAGCCTTTCACCTTGTGTCCCTGTCCGTGATATGGGGACACTGGTGGTGCCTTCTTCATAGGCTCACTGGGCAGATGCAGTGAGCGGATATTTGTGAGTTTCCTGCTGAGCTCACACCACTGCTGGGAGCTCTTAGGTCATCCTGGTACCTCCAGTGCTGGAACCCTTGGCCTTGAACCCTCACCCTGGACAGACTGAACTGTACCCTTCCCCTGGACCCCATCATTTACTCCTGACAACAGCTCCATGAGGTGGGCAGTCTATGGCACAGAGTACAGATGTGGGGAAATTACATCAATGAGACTCTCTCCTGCCCTGCCTGTCCCCAACTGCTGGCCCTTGTTGCTGTCACTGTCCCGCACAAGAAGGTGGTGGTGGCAGCCCAGGTCTCAGGGACTTGGCCTCTGTATCCTCTACCCAAGCAGTTTTCAACATGGGACAACCTCTTGTCACAAGGTTAGGAGGGACATCAGAGAAGTTCTAGAACATACTTTATCACCCAGGAAGGCCAAGGATAGGCAACTGAGGCTGGAGAGGGGTCTCTTGGACTTGTCTCAAGGCCATGCAGCAGGTCCCTGTTTCTGTGTGCCCCAGGATCACTGTGAGTCTGGCTCACCTCAATGGCACCAGGGTTGGTTTGGGGTGGATTGGGTTTCTGCTTTGTTCTCAGCACCTAGGGCAGTGCCTGGCACACATTCTGTGCTCCCTGAATATCTGCTCAGTGAATGAATGAGTAATTTAATGAGCTCACGTCTGGGGCCGAAGCTGGGGGCAGGGCCCAGAGCCAGGCTAAGCAGTAAATGTCAGACCTTTGGGAAGTGTTGGACCTGCCAGTGGGGAATAAGGTGGGAACAGGAAGCCAGGGAAATGGGGTACAAGTGAGGAGGCTAATGTGACTCCTAGAAATTCAGTGAATTATTAATCTCCTACTAATGGGAAATTATGTGAGGGTCAGAAAAAGAGATGAATACCCTCAGTGAGATGAATTGCCATGGTGACTGCAGCAGTGGGCTCAAGTGTATCAGAATCAGAGATGTGAGGACGGCACAGGATAGGACAGCGTTCAGATCTGTGTTCACAGGGTCACTATCAGTTGTACTCGACTCGATGACACCTAACAACAGCAATGTCCCCATGACACATCCACAAGAGACTTACCCTCCAGGAATATAGACGTCCTGTGTTCTTCGACTCCAGAAGGGGTTCCCCTAGCAGGCAAGGGGAAGGAGAGGACTTCCTGGCTCTTGCTCTAAATATCCTGAGTGCTGGGGTAAAAAAACAGGACAGAGGAATCCTGAGCAGATTCAATGCTGAGGGATTGTCAGTAGTACCTTGAACCATTCTGCCCAGACAGGAAATTTCAATAGTCTGTTTATTAGCATTTCCCATTAACCCCCCTCCCATACAGCCTTTCTCAGTTCAACACAATTGTCCCATGTTGAAAGTGAAGAAACAGAATCACAGGAGACAAAGGATTTTCCCTAGAGTCACATAGCACGCTGGTTACAGAGCTGGACTTGATTTGGACAATCTGACTCTAGAGTGTGTGACCATAGCCTGGAATGTTCATGCATCTGGAGCCCTTGTCCAGAAGAAGCCCCTGGCTCTGCCTCCACTGAACCTTTGCACATAGTACTGCACAGAGAAGCCTCATGAGGGAAAGAGGAAAGATTAAGACAGTCTACCTCTTGGAGGGTCCATCGATATAGCAACTTCCAGCCATGCTGGACATTGGTTTGGCAAGTTCATGGCCAAGTCAGTGACCTTGGAAGAATAAGCAAAGACTAAGACAGTCCACCCTTTGGACAGCCTGTAGGTGTACCAGCTCCCAGCCATGTCAGACTACACAGTGACTGTCAATGTCAACTTCACATACAACTGAAGCTCTTACAGCCTCCCATGCCAGCTCTCGCTCCCCACCATAGCCAGAGGTATGCTTGATGGTGGGCCCCATGGCTATTTCTGCCCCCCATTATACATCAATACAGGAGGGGGAGCCTGCTATCAGCCAACTGATGCTGATTCATGGCCACTCTGTGAGTTCTACACGTGTTCCTACAAGTATCCAGGTAGAGCTGTACTCCTCAGGGTTTTCAGAAATAGATAGCCAGGCCTTTCTTCCAAGGCACCTCTGTGCACACTCACACCTGCATCCTTTCAGTGATTAACCAAGCCCCTTAACCTTAGTTTATGTGCATCACCTAATGATAGGCATTTAGCAGAGACGCATTGGCTGACATTGAACTTGCTGAGTTCAGTTTTGCTGAGGCTAACCTGAGGTCACTCCCCGGGGGCACTTCCAGGCCCACACTTCTTTCCTTCCTCTTGCCATGAGACCTCACATGCTGCTCTTTCTGTGCCCTGTAAGCAGCAGGAGCTTCCGGCCCGTGTGAACCTCTCAGCTGCCCCTGCCCCAGCAGTGCCCACTGCCCTGCACTCCAAGATGGACGAGCTGGAGGGGCAGTTGCTGGCCAAGGTGCTGGCGCTGGAGAAGGAGCGAGCGGCCCTCAGTCACAGCAGCCATCGGCAGCGGCAGGAGGTGGAGAAGGAGCTGGACGCGTTGCAGGGACGTGTGGCCGAGCTGGAGCATGGTGGGTCCTGGGCCACAGAGGGGGACAGTGTGAGGCCTTGGTCTTTGAGTGGCTCTTCTGATAACAGTCATTCAAAAATATTTTGCTATTCACCAGATGCTAGAGCTGAACAGGGTGATGGGGAGGAGGAGGCTGAAGAACATGGAGAGAAAAATCAAGGAACACTGTCGTTATCGTCATCTTTAACAGTTACCATTTCCTGGCACTGACTATATTTCGGGATGGGGCTAAGTACTTGACACGCCAGCTGGTCTTATCGGCACAAACCTCACAGGGCTGTTACTATTATTATCCTCCTTTCCCAAATCAGGAAACCAAGGCTCAGAAAGGCCAAGTGACTCCCCTAAGACCACACAGTAACAGCAATCTAAGCCTCAAAGCAGGTCTGTCTGACTCCAAGTCTGTGGATTTAACAAACACACAAAACAAGCCTTCAATAAACTGGTCAGGATTTTGTCATTTATTTGATGCCTGGGCCAGGCACTGCTGAGGTTTGAGAGTGGTCAGAGAACCCTGTCATAGGGGATGCCGTGAGCATCAGGAAACCTGGATCCTGGTCCCACATCTTTCCCTGCCTTGCTCTTTGTCCTAGGGAATTCACTTTCCTTTCCTAGGCCTCAATCTCCTCATTTGAGAAATGGGGTGTGGGACTCATGAATTCTCAGGGATCTTTCAACTTTGAAGTCTTGTCAGAACTTCCCTTAAGACCCTTACAGCAGAGTTGAAAAGAGCAGGGGGAAATGAGTCATTGTTTGGGATTGATTTTGATGCAAATAGTTCAGGGAGAGGAGATCCAGGAAGACTTCCTGAAGGAGGTAGACCTCAAATTCTTCCTCAAGAGCAAATACAAAGAAGTCAATTTTGGAGTGGAAGAATCATAGCAGGGACACAGATTCAGAGAAAGAGATGATTTGAGTGGTCAGCATCTTGAGTGGAGAAAAGGGACAGGAAAAACAACCTCAATCCCTACTGAGTTCTACTGGATTGAACTGAGACTGTGTCCCCCTACACTGTGTCTCCTAATTGGCCGAGGGGGTGTCCCTTCAAGGAACAAAGTGAAAGTAGCTGACTGGATTAGGTGTCTGTGTGTCCAGGAGTTTTTCCTTCTCTCTTCATGGGGCTCAACTTCCTCATCTTTTAAATGGGTTCATTCAAGAACTCACTGAGCTCCTACCTCTCTGACCAGTCTCCAGCCTAAGCCCCAGCAGACCTGGGAACTCTGGACCAACCATTCACAGCCCCCATCTGCTATTCCTCGCCCTCAGTAGTCAGCAGGGCAGGGGGACATCTAACTGGTTCCTGCCTCTCCAGACAATGACAGTGCCTATAGCATCCTGCCCTGATGGTGCACTGAGTATATCCTCCCATCCTCTCCAGTTCAGCCCTTGCTATATTCAGACCTAAAATCCCAGAAATTGAGCTGAAAGATACCTTACATCTCCAGATTATTTTGTTCAAATCCCAGCTCTGCCACTTACTAGCTGTGTGACCTTGAGAAGATTACTTAGCCTCTCTGTGCCAAGGTTTCCCTATCAGTGACATGGAGGTTTTACAAAACATTTACAAGGAGGATGAGAGGGAAGACGTAAAAAGCATTTTGAACAGCATCTAGGAAAAGAGCCACAACCAAAACCCACTGCCACTGGGTCACTTGCAATTCTAGTGACCAGGAGGACAAGGTAGAACTGCCCTCCTAGAATTTCCAAAGCTATGACATGCCTCACCTTTATCCCAAAGAGCAAGAGTGTTTGAACCACTGACTCTTCAACTAAGAGTCCAAAATACTGCACACCACACCATGGCATCACCAATCATCAAACTTAATCCCTGCTGTGGCATCAGCAGTGCATATTCTCCTCCACTCTGCCTCTGTGGTGAAGACAGACGTTAAAGGTCAGCAATGCATAGAGGATCCTCCATCACGTAAATCACAAGGGAAGAGATTGCCCACCTTTTCCCTGCAGGGCTGCGGCTGAATTCAAATCGCCAGCAAGGTGTGTCCACCTTCCTGCAGACGACACCACCAGCTGTTGTTGAGTGCCATCGAGTCAGAACCGACCCATAGCTGACCCTCCAGCAGGTTTTCAGAGGCAGTCAATCACACAGGAGACTGTCCATCCTTCTCCCGCGGAGCGGCTGCTGGATTCAAACCACATACCTTTCGGGTTGCAGGGCAGCTTCTTACCACTAGGCCACCTGTGCTCCCTAAGCAGAGAACTACAGAAAATGGTAGTCATTTTGTTATCATACTTATTTACTGTGGGCCAGGCCTTTCTCACATTTCAGCCTCACACAAGCCTCGCAGGGAGGAAATATTAGCCCCCATTTTACCGAGGAAACTGAGGCATAGAGCAGTTAGCCTTGTAAGTGGTAGAGGCAAGATTTGAACCTGGGGACATCTGTGGTCCAAGGCTCTTGACCTTTAATGTCTGCCTTCACCACAGAGTGGAGGAGAAATGAAGGTGCCCAGGAATGAATAGCAAGCTTTCTGGGAAGCACACTATCCACCACACCCTTCCCGTGCGTGTCCTTGACTTCTGCGTGTCCACCTTGCCTTCCCTTCCAGGGTCCTCAGCCTACAACCCTCCAGATGCCTTCAAGATCAGCATCCCAATCCGCAACAACTACATGTACGCGCGAGTGCGGAAGGCGCTGCCCGAGCTCTATGCCTTCACCGTCTGCATGTGGCTGCGGTCCCGGTCAGGTGGCACAGGCCAGGGCACCCCATTTTCCTACTCAGTGCCCGGGCAGGCCAATGAGATCGTGCTGCTGGAGGCAGGCCATGAGCCCATGGAGCTGCTGATCAATGACAAGGTTAGCGGGGCAAGGTGGGAGGGTGGAGAGGATGGGGGTCCAGGGAAGCCTCCATGATTCAAGTCACCTTTGCTGGACTGGGTCCCAAACGTGAGTTGACTCTTTGGAATCTCCTGCTTCACATATTCAGCCCACATTCAAAGACTGTCATGTGCTGGTCTAGGTTCTGGGAATAACATGGCAAGCGAGACATGGTCCCGGCTGAAGAGGGGCTTGTGCTTAACAGAAGAGTTACATGATTTTACAGACAGGGCATGTGTGGCTCAGAGATTAAGACTTTCCCCAACAACCCAGCTGTGAGGGCCAGGGCTGGAGATGCCTCCCCAGGGTCCCTGCTCATTGTCTTGGGCAGAGAGAAGGAAGTGAGATCCACATGGACTCACCTGAGCAAGGGAATGCTGTCAGATCCTGATCTCTACTACTCCCCTGGCACCAGCCTCTCTGTTTCCATCCAGTTATATGGAGGATGATGCTTGGTCAGTCTCTGGAGCCTGAACATTGAGTCTGAATCCTGGTTCTGCCACTTACCCACTATGTGACCTTGGTCAGTGGATTTGGTTTTGCATTTGACTCCTTACTTAACAAGGCAGTTAGATTCCAAAAAGCAAGTCATTATGAGAAAAGTGATATTTCGTGAAAATGAAGATGACCAAGTCAGGTGACCATGTCATTACATAACTGCCAAATGACATCATTCTAAAACTGCCAAATGACATCATTATAAATCTGCTAAATGACATCATTACCAAACTGCCAAATGAGGTCATTATAAAACTGTCAAATGATATCATTACAAAACTGCCAAGTTGCTGAGACATATGGCCCAGCCACATTGACACATAACCTGCTTTACCTCAAAATTCATCACTGCCAGATGCACAAAAGAGATTTTTTTATTATAATTATTTTCTAAATGTGAAATGCCTGAGATAATGAGAATAATTGTTGATGGGCAAATTGTGTTATGTGCTGTCAAATTGAAACTGACTCATAGCTAACCCTCCAGTGGGTTTTCAGAGGCTGTAAATCACACAGGAGGAGATTGCCCATCATTCTCCCACAGAGCAGATGGTGGATTCCAACCACCTACTTTGGTTTGACAGTGCAACTCTTTATCCACTAGGCCACCTGAGCTCCTTAGGTAAGTGACTAGGAGAGGGATGTGTAAGGTGTTTGAAACAAAGCCTAGCATTTTGTGAGCCTCATTAGACAAAAGTCACCTTTCCTAGCTAAGACTCTGCTGATAGAACTTTTCACATCATTGCATGTGCCCCTTGAAACAGCGCTGGGAGGTAGGTGTCAGAGCTAGCTCATTCTGTAGCTAGAGAAGCTGAGCTCACAAAGGGGAACTAACGTGTTCCAGCAAAAAGCCAGTGAGAAGTAACAATATGATTTGGGGTCTCAGCTTCCAGAAGCAGTTTCCTAGGCCTTCTCACGTTCTTCCCTTGGGCCACCCATCTCTCCATTCCCAGGACTCATCCCCAGCTCCCTCCCTTGCATGGGCTATAGAGCAGGACAAGGACAGGTCTTGGGTGGGAGACGCTGTCACAGGGCTATGACGATTAAAGTGCTGAGAGGAGGCTAAGGCTCCTCTTCCCTCCATCTCCCAAGCATGTCTTCCCCTATCTGCCACATTGCTTTGGGTCTTGCAGCTGCGATGATTTTTGAGACTTCCTGTAAGCACAGACACTGTACTTAGCCTTGGGTAGCTCTGGTGGCTTAGTGGCCAGGACTCGCTCTGACCACCCACAGGCATGTGACTCTACTTGAGGGTGCATGACAACAACATACATCATCCCCCTTTTGGGCAGGCCACAGTCACGCAGAGCCACTGATATCCATCCAAATATAGTTCTGCAGGAGCTCCCTTTCGTGGTTGTCCTGGAGAAGGGGATGGGTCTAGAAGGTAGTGAGTTTCTCACGTGGTCTTAAGAAGATCAGGGTGGTCATTCTACATATATACTGTTGTTATTGTTGTTGTTATTTTGTTGTTAGGTACTGTCGAGTCATAGACGACTCATAGCGACCCTATGAATGAAAGGCTTGAGCACTATTCATAGAGTTTCCAGAGGCAAGCCATTTCGGAAGTGGATGCCACTCCTGCTTCCAAGCTTGTTTTAATCAGGGAGCTCCACCAAACACTGTCCACCATGGATAGCTATTATCACATTTGTCACATCAGTGTCACAGTGTTTAGCATCCCAGCAATCACGAATTACCTCTACAGCAATGCACAGACCAGTGCTATACTACCTAGAAGAATGTTTGACAAAAAACTAATTTGAACCAGGCCCAAGGGCCGCAGATTAAAATCACCCACCTTGGGCCACGTGGTCTTAAGAAGACTAGGGTGGCCATTCTACATCTGGATTATCTTACCCTATTCCTTTCATACCGAAAAGCAGTCCCTGCTGGGAGGAATTCAGCACCCTGGACAGGGCACTCTGCAGTCCTGTTCAGAGGACTGTCTACAACTTCTAGCCTCCTTTTGAGCACCATGTAGTCGGAGTGATACCCAGTCTCTCAGCCTTCGCTCATGCTGTCCCCTCCACTTACTTTGCCTGTAAGTGGGATAACCAGATTCCATAGACTTCTCAGGCCGCCTTCTGTTCCTACATCCTCCTTCTCCTCCGGGCCTCCCATATGGCTCCTATGTTATTTTGTGTCATAATGTTGTCCCTGAAATTTCCCCTTTTAGTGCATACTCAGCTCAGTAAGGGCTCGAATCTGGTCCATATCACCAATAGCCAGGGTATGATCTGGCACCAAATAGGCATGAGAGAGTGCTCCCTTCACTGTGGTCTCCGAGAACTTATGGGCTCAAAGAGGCCCAGGGAAATCCACAGGCGAGCAGGTGCCTTCCTCTCACAGGCCAGCTGGCACCAGTCAGCAGTGGCTTCCTGGAGCAAAGTCTGGACTCGTGATTAGTCATGTCTGCCTCGGGTAGAGAAGGCACTGTGGTTGCGTATTTGCTACCCTTCACTGACCTCACTTTGTAGACAAGGACTCTGTAGCCCAGAGAGGAAAAACAGCATCCTCAAGGTCACACAGGGGGTTGGTGGCCGAGCCAGGCACAGGTGATCCAGAGCTGGGCAGGGACGGGCAGGACGATGAGACATGGCCTTTTAGATCTGACAGAAAGGAACAAACTCCCCAAAAACCAACATGGGGTCCCCTTTGTGATCTGAGTGAGGCTGTGTGGATGGGCCAGTAGGGATTGGAAGAGAGGAAAGGCAGGAAGGATGCTGGGCTGGAAGAGGACCCTCAGCCTTAGAAGAGAAGGCAATGGTTCCTCTCCAACTACTCCAGCTTAGACCTTGTGGCACTTCTGACCTGGGGCTGGGGATCTGTGTTTAGGTGGCTCAGCTGCCCCTGAGCCTGAAGGACAGTGGCTGGCACCACATCTGCATCTCCTGGACTACACGGGATGGCCTGTGGTCTGCTTACCAGGATGGTGAGCTGCAGGGCTCTGGTGAGAACCTGGCTGCCTGGCACCCCATCAAGCCTCATGGGATCCTCATCCTGGGCCAGGAGCAGGTAAGGCTCAAGCTGGCACTGCCCAAGAAGCTCTTCCTAGCCCCTGAGGAGGATGGGCTGGGCAGAGGGAGCCTGAAAACACAGCATGACCGTTCATCCTGACCCAATCTTTCCACAGATGAAAAGACTGAAGGAGAGATCTGCCCCAGGGGCTAGAACCATGGGGGGTGGCTGCCTCAGGAACGGGGCTAGCTTGCTGGGCCTGTCTACTGGCTCTTCTGCTCCCTCATTCTGCTTCTCCCTCCTTTCTCTGCTGCTCTCTTTTCCAGGACACCCTTGGAGGTCGCTTTGATGCCACTCAAGCCTTCGTGGGTGACATTGTTCAGTTTAACATGTGGGACCATGCCCTGACACCTGCCCAAGTCCTGGGCATTGCCAACTGCACTGAGCCGCTGCTGGGCAATGTCCTTCCCTGGGAAGACAGGCTAGTGGAGGCTTTTGGGGGTGCAACCAAGGCCGCCTTTGACATCTGCAAGGGGAAGGCCAAGGCATAAGGTGCCACTTCATCCAGGGCCCCTCCCCTGACTGCCACTTTGGGGACATGAGGGGCTTCATTCTTTTTCAGCCTGCCCATGCACTGGATGCCCCTTATGCCCCAGTCCCAGACCTGCCTTCTGTTCCCCCACCCTCCCCATACCTCACAAATGCTCTGTGCTGTGATGAGTGTCCCCAACCCCACCTACATGGGGTGAGAAGCTCCAGTCACCAGGTCAAGCCTGGGTTGAATCCAGGGCTGTGCAGGGAGTGGCAGCGCCCACAGCTCTGTTTGCCCTCCTGGCATTCCATCAGAATCCCCTCTTATCCCCACCACACCTGGGCCCATCCATCCTGTTTGATTCCGTGGGCTGTATGTGGGGTAAGGGCTCATGACCTCAGTGTAGGTGACTGTCTACCCCACAGTCCCCCATGCAGCAGGCCTGGCACCTACTCCTCACCAGCTGAGAAGGGAACAACAAAGGGGAGAGAAGTGCAGCCTCACTCCTCTTCCACATTCCCTCCAGCTGCCAGTCAAGGGCATTAGGACCTTGGTGTGGGGCCCCCAGCCTGCCCTCTCCCTCCTCCTTCCTCATTTCATTGTGTGAAGTTGATTGGATGCTGGTTCTATGCCTGGCCCTGCCCCTTCTCCCCTTTTGCTCACCCACAGCTGTGTCACTGACACAGGCCTTCCTCTGAGGAAGCCTGAGCTGAGGTCAGCTTGTAGCAGAGACTCCATGGCCCAGGGGACCCTTGCCTGGTAGAGCCACATTGGCTACTGCCTCTGTACACCCTGCAGGCTTGGAGAGGGAGGGAAGAAGCTAAAAGGATGGGAAAAGCCTGGGGGAGTGGTCAGAGCAGGGAGGAGCGCTGGTTCCCAGCATCCTTGATGCTAATGGCCTTCTGCACTCCCTGGACCTGGGCTTTCTCCTGGGTGAGCTGACATCTTGGCTTTGGTGATTCCTGAGAACCTTCCAGATTGAACACAGGATGGTTTGTGATTCCAGGTGTGTGTGATAGGGCACAGGCAGACACCTCCCAGGAGACCCAGGAGGATAGTCAGGTCTTAGGACTGTGCAGCAGAAAGAGTAGGGAGAGGCATGGGGCCTAGGTCAGCAGCTGGCTCCAGAGAGTCAACATCAAAGGGAAAGTTCAAGACAGACTAACCTCACACTTAAGTTGTTTTTTAAAAACCATCTCCCTCCAGTTCCTCCTGGCCCATCCTCCTTGCCCGGCTGAGGCTGTTTCAAAGGGCTAGTCACTTCCTAGTCCCCACCCTTGAGGACCACTAAGACAGTGGGAAGGTGCCAGAGCTGAGAAGGGCCATCCCTTCTGACTCCTTTATTGTACATACGAGTTAGAACTCAGAGAGGGCAAGCAACTTGCAAAGGATCACACAGCACAGTGGGTGAGAGGCCAGGACCGGAAGGCAGGTCTTCTGACTCCTTCAGGCCTCTAGCCAAACTGCCTGTCTTCAAGGGCCTGCAAATCTCACTTACAACCTAAAGGACAGACATTTGAGAGGTCAGGATACTTTCTACCAGGACACTTGGAGTATCTTCTTCCTTTAGATAACACACAAATATCTTGGCATCTCCCCAAGGAGGTAGGGAGAGGAAGGCGTGCCCCTGGGATATTCTGGAGGGAACAGAAAGCTGAGAAAGCAGGCGTCCCATCCCTGACAGCCACCCACCAGGCGGCCAGGCAACAGCAGACTGACTACCTGGTTTGTGCCAAGTGCTGCTGCCTTTTTCAGCTTTTTGCTCCTCCCCCCCTGCTCCCTGGCCACTCAGCCTGAGGCACCATGGAGGAGCTGGAGGCTCAGGGGCCCTGTGCTGAGGAAGCTTCTCTGAGACTTGTTGCCTCCAACCCCCAGATCCGTGTTTCCATTTCAAGAGCAGGAATGGATTATTCAGCAGCTCCGGTCCCACTCCCCCTGGAAGGAGCACGGATGGCGTGCTCAGCCAGAACCTGCCGAGATCTAGGTTGCCCCGGTAACAGCCAATGACATCAGCCCAAGTGCTGGGTCAAGTGTATCCTCTCTAACGACATGTGCTGTTGCTGGGGTGACGGCAGCAGTCGGAACTTAAGTTTCAGGGGTGCCAGGTCATAGTGGGTTTCTGTTGCTGTTTTAGGGAAGCAGCTTTTTCTGGGAACCTTGGACGAAGGAGCGGGCCCTGAGAGGGAGCTGATGCGACTTGATGGGTCACTTGAGCCCAGCCAGACGCACCCTCTCAAGTCCTTTGTGCTCTGCCGTGGTAATGACGACACAGCTGACGTCTGAGCCTGGTGCCTGCTTCAAGGGGAACAGGAACAAATGGGAGAGGTTGCAGTGCTGGCTCTGAGTCTGGATGTCTCATGAGGGGCCTGGGACCCCACTTCCTGATAGGAAGGTGAGAGGTTTTAGTCCCTACTCTCCTTTCATCCACTAACAGCTGCATCCATTTGTAAGCTCTGATGTCATCTGCAGTTGCTTCCAGGACAGTCAAGAAGCCAGGGCAAGAGGAGCTAGAAATGAGACTTGACGATGTGCTGACTTGTTGCTGGTTAATAACGACACCACGTTGATGGCAACACCTAATACAGCCTTGGTGTCAGGCCACATTGATGACAATACTTAATAAATGCAGCCTTAGTACCAAGGCCACAGGCATTCTCATTTATCCTCCCAACATAAATTACTAGTTAGATTTATTCTTTGCCTTGTTGTGCAGATAAGGACATCATAGCCTAGAAAGGTTAAGTCCCTTGCCCAGTGTAAATCAGCCAGCAAGTGATAGAGCCTAGATTTCAAGCCAAGGCAGGTTATATGCAGGGCCCACCTCTTAGCTCCTGACTCCATGTGGGGGATAAAGTAGGGTTCAGCCACCCACCATTGCTCCCAGAGAACATCAGCCTGAAAGAATGTGCCCAGCTGCCTAGGATGGGCCAACTGGAGGGTCCCCTGGGATGAGGCCCCTGGAGGGATTTCAGTCCCTCAGAGAAGGTGTTCCCCTGGCAGCCTTGGCCCTTCCCTAGATCCTGGAGTTTCCAGGAGAGCTGAAAGGAAAGGGGAGCACGGGAGTGCCTCCCCACAGAGCCAGGTGGGAACAGAGTGAAGCTGAGTCTGCTCAAGCTCCTGCTGTGGACCCCTCCCTTGCCCGGTGCTTTCCAGCTGTTAGCTGCCAGACTCCCCCAGCTTGGTGGATGCACTGCCCCACCCCACATCCCAAGGGGGATGTCTTCTCAACACAACTGTGCATGGCCTAGGACCACGGGCTGGCCAGGAAGGGAGACCGAAGCCCTCCTTTCACAGATGAGAAACTGAGGCAGAGGGATGGGTGATCCATGCAGCCACACAGCTGAGATGTGGGGAGACAGACGTCAGTGCTCTCTCCAAGTCCCGTGGAGGCCCCTGGGTTCCTCCTTTTCTGTGTCTTCGGTCTGAAGAAACCAGGAAAGGACCTCCTCCCTGAGATGGGATCACTGTTTCTCACCCCTTCTGTCCCAGCTGCCTGCCACCCTGAATCCCACCCAATCCTGCTGGGTGGGGAAAGGGCTCCCGTGGGCCCAGGCTGAGCTGTGAGCGAGCATGTCACATCGTCCGACACTGTGAATTGGTGCCCCCACCGATGACCCAAGCCCGCCTCCCTCCTCCTCACCCTGTTTTGTATATAAAGTGACATGAGGTGCGACGTGTGTGTATGTGTGTGTGATACGTGTCATGGTTTTGTTACTTTTTGGTTTTGTAAATTTGAATGTTCCAAATAAACATGGTGTTTACTCTGAGACTCTTCTTTGTAGGGTGGGCTATCTGAGGGTGCTGGATGGGAGGGAGGCAGCGACTTTGGGCAGAGCAATGGGAAAGGCAAGGAGGGAGCCCCCCAAGCAGCTCCATAGCCTCAGCCCCCCAACAGCTGGTTCTGCCTGTCCCAGGTTTAGACACACCCCCAGCACAGAACTTATACAGGATGTAAAGACTCAAGTCCCACGTGAAAAGTGTCCCAGTTCTGATAACTGGGCTTCGGCCTCATTCTTAACACTCCATCCCCACCTTGTGCCCCAGTTCTGGGAACCAGGCCCCTTCCTTGTTCCTTGGGACCCACTATGTCCAGGAGACTTGCCTGTGTTCCTAAGTACGGCTGTCCTTGGGGTCTCGGGGAGATGAGGCAGGGCAGAGGGAAGGGTCTTATCTCAATTCCATCCCCTCCCCCGTGGTCCACACTTTTTACTTCTATAGTGAGGTCAACTTTAGGGTCTGCAGCCCACCCTATCAATGTTGTCACCACTTTTGATGGAACCTTACCTTCCGATGACCCTTATGATTGTCAGGAGACACAGCCAGAGGCCAAGAAATAGATCACATCAATGCTGTTGTTGTTAGGTACCACTGAGTGGAGTATGACCCAGTGACCCCATCCATGAGCAATAGATCTGAACCCTGTCCTATCCTGTGACATCCTCGCCATTTCTAATGATACAGTCACTGTGTCACTCCATCTCACTGAGGGGTCTTCCTCTTTTCTGTGGACCCTCCACCCTTCCAAGCATGATGTCGCTCTCCAAGAAATAACCTCTCCTTGCAACATGTCCAAAGCGTAAGAGATGGAGCTGTACCATCCATGCCTCCAAGGAGCACGGTGGCTCCACCTCTTCCACATCAACAGGACAAGGCTTTCCAGACTTCCTGAAGCTTCCCAAACTCCTGACAAGAGTGGGCTCACCTCCCATGAGGACCAGGACATGTAGCTGGAAGCAGTACATAAAAAATGCACTTGATCTGTGGTACGAATCCACCAGACGCTCTGCTGGAGCAGGAGGGGCCATCTCCTTTGGTACCAGTCAGATCTGATTTGACAATACACATACACAGAATATAGTAAATTTTTAAAAATGCACTTGATCAAGCACGATTCATGAGGACCCTATGAACAAAAGACTTGAAGCCCCTCTACAACTATTGACATTTTTCGAAGAGTTCCAGAGGCAGGTTATTTAGGAAGTGGATGCCACTCCTGAGGGGGTAGTAACCACGAGGTTG